TAAGGGTGAAAACATCCCCTCACCTATGCAGGACTCACAGAGGGGGTGGCTAGAAACTGATTTTGTCACCTTTACCTCATCACACACCACAAGGGAATAAAGGATTGAAATATAGAGTTTGAGAAATTGGAGGAAGGGTTATCCTTGGAGATAGCAAACTGTACATCCTCCCTGCCAAAGAGGAGAGAAAGAGTGTGTGTGGGGGGGGGTCTCCCCCACGAGGCCGGGGGAAGGGGAGCTTCAAGTGGGCCACTCAGACCCAGACCATGAGGTCTGCTTGGAAATCTGTGGCTGGATCAGGCTGAGGCATTGGGGCAGCGAGAGGAAGGGGGCAAGAGGGAGCTGCACTTCCTGCGGCAGCTGGGCGAGGATACCAATGTGACTACACTGGAGGGAGCCACCCAGGAGGACTGCCTGGAGGGGGCAATGTAACCCCAACAGAGGAAGGGACTGTCTGATGCTCCAGGATCAAAATAGCATCAGGCCAGCTTGCTCCAGGGTGGCCGTGAGAAATACACATTCTTGCTCTGCCTGCTGTTCCAGCCTGACATCTCCCCTTCAACACACACCTTTTAGTAGGGAGGGTGGTAGCAGAGCTCTCTACTGTGCCTTTGTAACTGCCAGAGAGTGAGACCAAGATGAGAGAGTGAAGCCCTTTCCTGAGAGTCAGTCCTAAATGCTGGAGGAGGGACATGAGAACAGGGCACGCAGGCTGCCCCTCGTACTGACACGCTCCTGCATCAGCCTGGGAGCTCAGGGCACATTACTGAGAGTCTGAGTGGCATGTGCCTTGCTCCCCTATCTTCCTATCTCCCCATCCCAGTCATATCCTAGCAGGTCTCATCCCTCATCTTTCTTCCCATCTCCCCATGCCAGTCATATCCTAGCAGGTCTCATCCCTCACCTTTCTTCCCATCTCCCCATGCCAGTCATATCCTAGCAGGTCTCATCCCTCACCCCCCTGTTCAGCCAGTTGTCCTAGTATGTGAGCTGTCAGCAGATGCTGAACCGGCTCGTGCATGTGCTCTGTGTTCTTCCTCCTATGAGGAGGTGAATCTCCAGGGGTCCTCCCTGCTGCTGACGTCCTTGCAGGGCACCTCCTTTCCTTGCTTCCCAGCTAGGCTAGACCGAGTACGTGCCCGGGGGAGGTGACGCACACCAGGCCTTGGCCCACCTCGGGCATTACAAACTGAGCATCACACGTGGGGACTGCCTGAGCCCCTCTGCTTCTCTTCCTCTTCTCTCTTGGGCAAGCTGCTCAGTTCCTCTGACTCTTAGTCTTTTCATGTGTAAACCAGGCGTGCATGATTATATCTAACTTGCTGGGCTGTGGTGAGGACTGGAAGAGTGGATGAGGTTAAAAAGCACTTTATAGAGTGCACAGTTGTCATTTCCAGGCCTTTGGCCATACCTCCAAGAGGGAAGACCACGGGGAAATCATGCATAAATGTTCCAAACCTCGGGAGGAAGGGAAGATGCAGGAATGAGTCAAACTCTGGACCGTAATGAGGTGTGGGGTGATGGGAACAGACAGTCCATGGATAGCTGCGGTCTGAAACCAGGTTAAGAGCAGCTCCTAATACTAAATTCTGGCATAAATGATACAAACGATTGATTATCATGTCTCATCTTCTCCTGTTAATGCGATTTTCCCAGCGCACTGCAGGGTAGGAGGGCTGGCTCTCAGCTCCCCACGGCCGACTAAGAGGTGCAGATGAGACTGGCAAAAAGAACCCATTGGCCTCAGCCAGCTACTTCACAAGGCTTTATCAAAAATGCAGAAAGAGAAAGTCACTCTCTTTTGTCACCTGTGCTGTTCAATCTTGTCTGATAATGACAGCAGCAGCTGACCTTGTAGCAGTTTGCAAGGTGTTTTCCCTGCATTGTTTTGTGTAACTGCAGTAAACTCATGAGGTAAGTATTACAATCACACCCATTTTACAGATGAGGAAACTGAGGCTCAGGGGAGAAGGTGCTGGTGCATTAGATTTGAAATCAACTGATGTGTTCCAATCTTGGATCTCTCACTTAGCTGCTGCATGCTCTTGGGCAAATTGTTTAAATCTCTATGCTTCTACATTTTTCTCTGTGAATGTTGATGATGATGGGTTTTTTTAAAATAGGGTTATGGGGACAATGGCATCAGAAAATGCAGATAAAGCACAAAACTCATGCCTGGCAAGGAAGCTTCTACCCTTACACAGGAAATGCCTGAATGGTGACTTGAACCTAGGTCTCCAGATGCCAAAGTTTGAGCTCTTTCAAGGGGGTGGTACTGGCTCTTAATTTTCGACATTACACATTTTAGTCGGCATCTAGATCTGGAGAACACACACACACATGCACACATCACACACACACCCACACCCACGTATCTCTCTACCTTCTTACTTTCCTCCATCCCAGTCTCAGAATCCAGTTAGGAAGGGGCACACATTCAGAAGGAAAGCACCTGCCTCCAGAGACAGATTCCCTGCTTCTCTTTCCAGACCCAGGACAGCCACTTCAGAGCAGGAGGCAGCCTCAGATGGGGCGGAGGTGAGCAGGGGCATTTTTGGATAATGGCCATCATCTTCCTCCATACTCTCAGGGGTCCTGATAGTCACTTAGTGATTAGCCTTTTCCTTGAGTATAGAATATATGTATAACAGGATGTGTGAGGTCTTGTCCCCTTTCTCTTCCCTCCTGGAGACAACAGTCCCAGGAAAAATCCAGTGGAAGTGTTCTTTGTCCCCTTGGAGGTGAGCCAAGGGCTTCTTGCAAGGACCCTATTCACTTCATAGGCCCATGAGAATTGGTGATGATGGTTTCATTGTAGCTGGTGGCTGTGAAATGGATCTGGGCTCTCCCGTGAGCTGCTCAAATCTGGCAATAGCCTCCACTCCCCCATCCCCAGCCCTGGGGGCCAGAGTGTCATCCATCTGGGAGAAGTGGCTGGGGTAGAGTTGCTGGTAATTAATTAGTGGACCTCAGCTGATCAGGAGATTGGCTTGTGAGGAGTTCACTATTTCCTTAAGTCCCAGAGTCAGATTTTCTCTGTTCTCAAATACACGTGCCCTGTGCTTCTTAAGGGCCAGTTGTTGGGCCAAGAACAGGGTCGTAGTGGGAAGAGCACAGGCTGAAATGAATCCTTTGCACTGCTCCAGCATTTTTTTTTTTTCCATTTTGTCTTTTTTACTGACCGGTAATGGGATCGCAACCCTCGGTATCGCGCCCGCACCGCGCTCAGCCAGTGAGCGGGAACCGGTCTCCACATGGGATCCGAACCCTCAACGGGAGCGCCGCCGTGCTCCCAAGCGGCTCACTCTCCAGTGCGCCACCGGGCCAGCCCGTGCTCCAGCATTTTTATGATCTCTCTTCCCTCGAGCAAATGACTTACCCGCTGAGCCTCAGTTTCCTCATTTATAAAAGGAGGATAGAACAAGGGGACTTCAGAAAGTTCTTGGAAAAGTAAAATTGAAATATATGATTCTTTCCACGAATTTTTTGAAGTGCGTACTGTCAGTGTTGTAAAGTTAAATGAGGTACAAATGGAAAAAAACCCAGCACAGCATCTGACACCTGTTAGGTACTCAATAGATGTCAATCCCTTGCTGTTCTAGGACTCTCCCAGCCTCTGTACAAAACCTGTAAATTTAGTGTCTAAACATGCTTATACTGTGCACTTGTCGTAGACACTGTTGCAAAGCCTTTCACCAGGCTGTGAGACCAGTGCCTGTAAATGTGTGCTGCTGATGGCTCATACCTGCCCGTTATCTGGAGAATTGGCCTCAGCTAAAACAGAAGCCACCTTAGCTGGGAGCTGACGCACCTTGTGCACCCTC